AGGGCCTCTGGTCTTGGGGTTTCATCACCACACATGAAGCACGTGGCTTCTGTGCTTCCATATTTGTCTCAGGGTTCAAGATGGCTCCTGCAGCTCTGGCCATCACGTCTAAGTTCCAGGTAGGAAGTAGGAAGAAGTAAGATGGGGACAGTAAAGAAAGAAAGCACAGCTGAGTCAGCCCCCTGGAAGGCCCTTCCCTGGAAGCCCCACCTACAGCTTCCATTTCTATCTGGGAAACGCAGTCTCTTCATAGGGTTCTTGTCCCCGAAGACGGACAAGTCCCATTCTTAAGGAGAGAGGAGGAAAGGGTGACTGCGAATCGACCGTGAAGGGAGAATGAAGACCCGAGGGCTGTGGGCCACCACACAGGGCCCTCTGGGCAGTCCTCGGCAYGATTCCCTTGACAAAACCTTCTGAGAAATGTCACCGTCCCTGGTGACAGACAGGGAAAAGCCGGCCCAGCAAGACACGTTCACTGGCCCAGGCCACACAGCCAGGAGGGGGTGGGTTTGCAGCTGGAACCCAGGTGGCCACTTCCAGCACCAAGTGGTGACAGTGGCCATGACGATGATGGCTGCCACGGGCCCGGTGCCGGCACGGCTCTAGGCACACGGTGTGGATGAGCTCAGTCCTCACCGCGGCCAGGAGACGGAGGCACTGAGAGGCGGAGGAACCCACCCAGGGCCACACAGCAGAGCMGCCAGGTTTGGTCCCGGGCTCGACCCGTGGGCTCTTGATCTCCTCCTCCTGGGGACTCTCCACCTTCTCTGACCCCCACCACAGCCTGCTCCTCGGAACCTAAAACCAGACAGCACCGAGGGGCCAGCCTCCCGCGGCCCCAGCCCTCACCGCCCTGGCCCTGACGGCCTCCTGTCCGGGCCGTGCCCTCTCGCCTGCACTCTCCCTCTCTTGGCYGCCAGCCTCCTGCAGGCCCCTCCTGGCCAGCCCTGCCCCTCTTCCTGCCTGGCCACCGGCTCCCCGTGGCTCTGGGCCCTGGGTCACAGGCTGTCACCCGGCTCTCCTGGGCCGGGCAGCCGCGCAGCACCCTTCACCCACTGCACTGCGCCCTTCCCGAGGCCGAGGGCCCGTGTCATTCCGTCAGGAGACTCATCAAGGACTCACGGGTGCCAGGCCCTGGCAGGGACACACGCTCCTCCTCTGAACCTCRCAGCCTGGCCCTGGCCTCCAAGGCCCAGCGTGAGGGCCCCCGCCTCGCTGTCCTCTCCCGCCCCACACTGCTGCTGGCTTCTCCCCTCACACGGGCTCAGCCTGTCTCAGGGCCTTGGCACCTGCTGACCCTTCTGTCCAGATGCCCCCCAGTACCCCGCCCAGGTGCTCTCTGCCAYTGCCCCCACTCGGTTTTCTTTGAGGCCTTTGTCACAATCAGAATGCGCCTGCCACCGGGGCAGGGGCCGTCCTGGCCCACGGCCCTGATACCGGGTCCGTCCTCTCCGTTCCCAGGGGAGGAAGCCCAGGCCCAGACGGGCCKAGCGCCTGGCCCAAGGTCTCCAGAGGACAGGGGACGAAGTTCAGAGCGTCCATGTGGCGCACGTGTGTGTGTGTGCGCCCCGGCCTCTCGCCTCTCGTAGGGTGTAGAGTGGTCAGGGCCCGTCTGTCCCTCAGTGTGACCAGGCCAGCAGGGAGGTGGCTGAGCTGGGGACACAGAGGGCCCCAGACTCGAATCCCAGCTTCGAAGATCTCTGAGCAAGAGACGCTCCCGATGCTGCTGCTCAGCCCTCCGCACCCCCAAACCGGGCCTCAGAGGACCCCAGAGAGAGCCCAGGCCTCCCCGGCCCACCCTGTCCCCGGGGCTCGCAGGCCTTCCGAAGGGGCCACAGCCAGGGGACAGCCGGGGGCATCCAGAGCAGCCAGCCCCAGACGGACTCGGTGGGCGGGGGGAGGACAGAGGACAGGGAGACCGGCCGCAAGACCTCCCTGCCTCCCTGGGGCCAGTCCCCTCTCTCTCTGCCCCCCAGCCCTGGGAGGACGCTGCCCTTGTGCCTGGGCTGCCCCGGCTGAGGAAGGGGAGATGGCGGGTCCTCGTCACCGGACTGTCCTAAGGACCAAGGCACGAGAAGCACACAGGATAGCCCCTGGCTCAGAGCCAGCACTGTCCCCAGCCCCTGCTCGGGCACAGAGGCCCCTCCAGGAGAGACCTCAGGGCCYGTCACCCGCCCCACTTCTCTCCCCTGGGAGTCCCTGTCCCCACCTGCCATGGTCTCGTTCCAGGTACTGAATGCTTAGTGCCTGTCTCTCCTTCATGTGGGTCACCGCCAGGCCCCTGCACCTAGTCATGGGGCTGGCACACAGCAGGTGCTCAATAAATGCTTGTCTAACTAAAGAAAAATAACCGGGCAATAAGAGATGAGGACAAAACAATCCCGACAAGTCTGAGCGGGCCCGTGGGGGTGAGGGCCACTCTGCAGTGTTGAGAGGGAGTGGCTGCTCTCCCCATGCCGGGCCGACTTCTGCCATGAGCTGTGCAACTTAGACATGTCACTTCCCCTCTCTGAGCCCTTCGCTTGGCAGGAAAATGCTGGTGGCAGATCCTGCAGCCTCCAAGAGGCGGAGGAGCCGAGGAGCGGAGGAGACGGGCGCGAGGCCCTCACAGGATTCTGGGCTCTGTGGCCCTCTTCAGTGGGCCCAGTCACCAGGCCACGGGACGACCGTGTGGRATGAGGAGGCGGAACGTGTTCTGTCCCCTGACCTGAGCGGTGTGGGCTGGGGTTCCAGGCTCCCCGCAGCTGGGCCGGGTGACCTCACCCCCGGTGGCCTGCCCAGTCCCCACTCACCCTGCTGCTCTCCACCTGGGCGCATCCTGGGCCCTGCTCCGCGCCTCTCCCCAGCCCACTCCCTCTCGTCTCTGAACTTTTGAAAGGACCGGTCCCTCCGCCCTGCAAGCCCTTGGTCCTCGCAGACTTGTGATCCATGGGGTGGATGTCACCCCATCATGACRTCCCCTGGGTCCTTTGGCACAGCCCTGTCCCCAGCGCTCCCACACCAGGCCACAGAGCGCCCTGGCCRAGCCGGCAGCCCAGCACCAGCCCAGCACGGCTCTCCTGCCCTCAGGGTCACCAGGGGGCTGGGCTTCAGATCGTTCTGCTGCTTCCAGACTGTGACACCGAGTGGAAGTCACTTCACTCTGGGACTTGGGGTGYCTGAACTTGGGGCTGGAACCCTCTGGGAAAGCGGAACCTTCCGCAGAGACCCGGGACTCAGACGGGGCGTCCACCCGGAACGCGGACCTCATTCCGTGTCCACGGGCTACTCACTGGGGAACGGTGGGGAGGAAGAGGGAGGGTGGCTGCCCCCTTCCCCTGTGTGTCCTCTGCAGAACAGGTGAGCAGCAGCAGCCCTGCTCTCAGTGACAAAGGGGACGGTGGGGACTGGGGAGATGCCCCCTGCCCCCCATCCCCCAGGCCTTGCCCTTGGGTACACAAATCCTGGAGGCAGTGGAGCTGATGTGTGGTCACTGGTCCTAAGGAAGGCCATGCGGGCCACTGCGGCCCAGGCCTGGACCAGGCTGCAGGCACCCTCCTGGCACGCTGTCCACGATGTGCCCAGGGCCCGGAGCAAACCTGTCGKGGCCACCCCAAGGCCCAGGCTACAGTGCAGTCCCCCGCACCCAGTGCTCTGCACGGCCCTGGTGCCAACAATGGAGACGCCAGCCCAGGGAGGTGGCGGCTGCCGGGTCCTCAGCCCCTGGTCCTGAGCGGTGCGGGTTGATGGTCCCCATCTGTCTGCCACACTCCAGGCCCCAGAGGGGAGGGGAAGAGGAAGCTCCCCGCTTCCTGAAGYGGCGGGTCTCAGCAGCTGCTCCCAACATCCCAGGCTGCCCCAGGCCCTTGGCAGCTGCTGGGACTCCTCAGGGCAGGGTGACCCCCGCCAGCTCCTTCTCCACCGGCTCCGAGAGCGGAAAGCCACCCAGGGCTCTAAAGCAGGCRCCCAACAGCACCCAGCTTCCCCCAGGCATCGGTGGGGTCTGAGTGAGATGGGGCCGCAGGGTTTGCCGACACGGGCCCAGCAAAAGCTTGGCGGGCTCACGCCGCACCAAAGCCGGTCCGTGCCAGGAGCCTCCCGGCAAGAAAATAACAACAAGAGCAGGAGCTTATATAACACCCCGCGCCAGGCACGGCCGCCCGCCTCTCCCAGCCCTCCATCTGCAGCCTCCACTCGGGAAGGGAGTGGGGTGCGGGGGCTGCCTCGGGGATCGGGGACAAGGGCCCCAGGTTCAAACCCAGACACAGCCACCTTGAGCACGCAGGTCAGGCTGGCCTCCGTGGCCACCTGGGACCAAGAAGGCAAGTCCCCCACCCGGGGAAGGCAGTGTAGGTGTGGGACCTGCCCCCACCCTCCACCTGGCCCAGGGTTCCCCAGCTGGACAGGACACATAAACCAGCCAGAGACACACAAACACCTCGGCCACGCACACACCCTGGCTTCCCTCTTACTGCGCGCACGCACACAGACACACACACACACACACACACACACACACACCATGGAAGTCTTTTCTCCACAGCCCACCTCGCTGCACTTACCAAAAGAATCTGCCCTGACTCGGGCTGGCAGGGCCCAGGCACCAAGCTCCTCCTCCCAGACGGACAGGCCAGTCTGGCCCCCAAAACACAGCACAGGGGTCCCAGGCCTCCTGGCTCCTCCAAACCCAAGCATGACACTCAGGGCAGCCAGAGACCCAAGCCCGCCTCCCCCTCCCCACGCAGGGTTCCCAGCCSGCTCCCAGCACCCAGGGGGGCTGAGTCACCCTGAAAACCTGACCCAGCACTCTCTCCCCGTCCCCCAGGGGCCCGCRCCCCATCTGCCAGCAGACCCTGGGGGAGGAGCAGAGGAGGAGGAAACCCAGCTGCACACCCCCAGCCCAGCTCTCAAACCTCCAAAAACAACAGCAGCCCCCTCACAGGCCCCCCTACACCCGAGAAACGCAAAAACAAGCGCCTGCAGATCCACGAACAGAAAAAAATCAAAAGCCAACTAGTGCCCCCAAAAGGCTTTTAACCATTCTCAAAAAAAAGTTTATTAAAAGTGTTCTTACTTAATGCTTGAAACGGAAAAGATTCCCAAAATATACATACGCCTCTTTTCTCATAGAAATAGATTTTTTTTATAATACAAAAAAAGACCAAAAACAAACAAAAAAAAAAACAAAACAAAAAAAAAAACAACAGCAACAGCAACAACCCCGTAGGAACATCTTTAAGCGATTACTCAGGGCCCGGCTGACAGTTACACGTGGGTTGCGTCAGTCCCGTGTACACACGCGTCCTGCCATGTTTGAGCCGATTGCATCAACTCCGAAACCCGCCCGCCCGCCGGCGCCCGAGAGGGGCGGGGGACAGAGTTCAAACGCATCTGTGCACAGGGACGTTTCTTCCTTAAATAACACCACGGGCGGGCGCCCCATCTGCACGTGCGGCTGGTCTGGACAAAAATATAGATATACATATATAATAAAATATTAAAATTACCGACGGCCTCCCCGCGCTGCCGAGCGCCCCCGTGCCAAAGTTCTGCCGGCGCCACCGGGGCGGCGGCGGGAGCGGGGGCCGGCCGGCAGGGGGACGCGCGCGGGGGCCGCGCTAGCAGTGGCCGGAGGAGGCGAGCAGGGGCTCGGGCAGCTGCTTGAACAAGTTCCGCAGGGTGCTGAGCTCGCGCGACAGCTGCTCCACCTTCTTCTGGAGCCGCTCGTTCTCGGCCGTGAGCTCCAGGACCTTGTGCTGCGTCTCCAGGTTGCGCATCTTGGCCTTGTCGCGGCTCTTGCGCACGGCGATGTTGTTGCGCTCGCGCCGGATCTTGTACTCGTCGCTGTGCTTGTCCACCGTCTTCTTGGCCTTGCTCTTGACCTGCGCGGGCGCCGGCGCGGCCCCCGGGTAGCAGGCGGCCGGGGGCGCCTTGGCGTCGGCGGGGCTCGGCGTGCCGGGGGGGCTGGACGACGAGGACGTGGAGAGGCTCCCGCTGCTGCCGCTCGGCACCGCCTGGTAGCCGAGGTAGGCGCGCAGCGCGTACGGGAAGCCCGCCGCCATGCCTGCGCCGCCGCCCGGCGCCCCGGCCTCCTCCTTCCGCTTGCAGTCCGCGGGCTCGAAGCCCGGCTCCGCCTTGAGCTCCGCGGGCGGCGGCGGCGGCGGCGGGTGCAGGGGCGCGAAGCAGCCGGGGTGCAGCGCGCCCTTGGCGGCCCCCAGGCGCCCCAGACTCACGTAGCCGTACTCGGCCGCCTTCTTGCAGTTCTTGCCCCCGTAGTCGTCCGAGAAGAGGTCGGAGAGGAAGTCGTGGTGCTGCCCGGAGGAGGCGGGCGCGGGGGCGGGCGCGGGCGGAGCCGCCTCGAAGGTGTCCGTGGCCGTGGCCGGCGCCGGGGCCTGCGGCGCGCCCAGCGGCTCCAGGTACGGGCTGAAGTCGATGGCGCGCTCGTGGTCGCCGATGCTGCCCAGCTCGCCGGCGGGGGGGCGCGGCCCGGGTCTGGCCGCGGGGGGCGCCGCGGGGGCCGCCTTGCCGCCGTACGCAGCAGCCAAGCAGTCCGCCTCGTAGTAGAAGTTGGCCACTTCCATGGATTTAAAGGCAGGCGGCGGCGGCAGGGGGAGACATGCTGGGTCCCAGGCCACCAGGCGTTGCATGAACGCGGGTGCCCGGGGAGGGGGCCTGGGGCAGCCCGCTCCGGCCGGCCCGCAGGTGGCGCGGCCTCCCGGCTCTGGGCTGTCGCCTGTGTCCCTGCTGTTGCTGCTGCTGCTGCTTCTGCTGCTGCTACTGCCTCCGCCGCTGCCGGGGTGGCAGCTATTAGTGCGGGGGCTGGCGCTGGACCCTCGGATGGGTCCCCTTCCCGGTCCCGTGCGCGGCTCTGACTCGCTAAAGTTTCTCGGGAGCCCGGTTATTTATAAGGCGGACCATGGTAACCGGCTGCGTCACTGGGAGGCCGCCCCGGCCCCTCCCGCTGCCTCCGGAACGCGACGGCCGCGACCGCCCGAGACCCCCAGGAGGGCGGCGGCTGGGCGCGGCGGCCCCGCAGGAGCTGGGAGCGCGCCCTCCGGGGGGTCCCCGGGCGGCGGCTGGCGGTCGCACGCCCCCTGCCCACCCCTGCCCGGCAGCCCGGGGATTGGGAAGGAGAGGGGGAGGTGCGACCCCGCCCCCGGACCGCCCCCTCCGGGCTGGAGGCCGCCCTAGAAGGGGAGGGAAGCGGGGAGGGGGCGACCTGGTCGCCTTCCCCCACCCAAACACGGCCGCGGCCCGCCCCCTACTGGAGGAGGCAGTGGTTTCTGTATCGCCCAGGCCAGCTCCGAGGTCCTACTGCAGGACGCTCCTGACCCCTCTCGGACCTGGGAGACCCCAAGCCCCAGCCCTGGCTCCTGGAGAAGGGACCATCCCATCCCCAGGGCCAATCCTCAGCCGCCGCTCTGTCCCTGCGCCCCCCACTCTATCCCCAGCTCGTGGAAGGAGAGGATTCCACACCTTTGGAGACTCCCCTGAAGCCAACGTGGACATGGGGACCCTGAGAATGGGGGTGAGGCCAGAAGCGCGCCCCGCGGGGGCTTTGGTCCGGCTCAGCCGCGCCCCTCTCTAGTCCCGCCCGCCGCACCTGCCGGTCGCTTAGACCACACCCAGCTCTTCTCCTGCCCGCTCCACCCCACCTGGGCCTCCAGAGGGTGGAAGGGGTGGGGGCTACTTAGCCCTGCCACACTGTGTCACTGTGAGTCACTCCACGTCTCTGAGCTTCGGTGAAGGGTGTTGCTACTGTGGGTAGCAGCGCTGTCCCCACCACAGATTCCCACACAGGACACTTAACTTTCTGACAGGGGGATGTCAGAGAGAAACTGACCCCCACAGAGGGTACCAATGGAGGGGGACGCCGCAGACCCCAGATTACATGGCCTCCCGTTCCCACATTTGTCCCCAAAGAAAAGTTGGCAGGCAGGGCTCCCCAAGACCTGCCTGCTAATCCCAGAGGCCACAAAGGCCACAAAGCCTGTTCCTGAGGCCGCTGGGGAGGGAATCAAGCCAGGCCCCACCTGGGTGGGGGCGGTGTGCAGGAAACAGGACTCCCCCCATTCTTAGCAAGTCCCTACTCTGCCTGTGGGTGGACCTGGGCCAGGGTTACTGTTCCCTGCCAGGAAGATGCTGTGGGCTGCCAGTGTCACGGGGAGGGGTGGGAACAGCCTGGGGCCTCCACCAYCTGCCTCCTCCACCCAGTTCAGAGGGCTCTGTGACCCCCAGGCCTCACACCTAGGCCCACCTCTGTCACTCCCAGCCCAGGCCGCCAGGCAGGAGCTCACAGCCTGCCTGGAGCTGACCCCCGGCCCACTGACCCCAGCCCTGGCCCCAGCGGGCAGGCAGGCATTGCTCAACCTTCAGTGTTATCTGCTGAGCTGGGGTGACCTCTGCCCCCAAGAGCTGGAGAAATGACATCTCAGTGCGCCCTTGGGGGTGGGGGGCAGGGAGGGACAGGATAAAACAAGGGCCCTGCCTGCCGCCTTTCTGTCCTTCCCAGCAGCCTCTGGGCTGGGGAGGGATCAAGGCTCAGAGAGGCGTGGCAACTTCCCCAGGGCCACCCAGCCGGGCCTTCCTGCAGAAGAGGAGACTCCAGACCTCGCTGGAGGGCCTCGGCCTCCAAGAGGCCCTCTCTCTTTCGCCCGCTGTGTCTCAGCTACCCAGGGGGTCTGCCTGCCTCAGTTTCCCCCAGACTGCGTGAGGACTGGCCCTAAGTAGGAGGAGTCCCTCCCTCAGCTCTGCCCCAGGTGGCTGCTGTCCCAAGCCCTCCTGGTTCCCCTCACACCCTGCTCCTCCCTCCACCACTCTCAGGACCTCACACGTCCCCCCTGCCTGTCTTGCTGCCTGTCCCTGCTGCCCCAGTCCAGTGCCAGCCCTCAGGACAGGGATGCGGGTTTCCTTTGTTCACTGCGGCTCCCTCCGTGCCTGGCATGTGGCACACAGAAGGTGCTCAGCTACAGGGGAATGAATGGAAGTGGCTGAGACAAAGGTGGGGTCCCCTGGCAGCTGGGCCGCGTGACCACACACAAACTGCCCAGTGAACACTGTGAGCCTCAGCCCTCCACTCTGGCCTGATGGGGTTCTGGGGAAGATGCAGCGAGTCCTGGGGATCTGAAGCCAGTTGGGAGGTCTGTGTGTCCTCAGGCGATCTTCTTCCTTCTCTGATCCATATTTTAAATCCTCTGTGTGTATTAACTCACTTAAYCCTCCTGGAAATCCGCAGGAGGTGGGCCCTGTTATTACCTGCACTTTACAGAGGAGGGAGCCTGGCCCCGCAGAGCTAGGTGTCTGCTCAAGGTCACCTTGAGGAGGGACGAGAAGCGGTCATTCCGGGCCGGACTTCCCTCTGGGTCTGGAGTCAGTTCTGTGAGTCTGACAGTGAAGTCCCACATCCTGGACGGAAAAGCAGAGGCCAAAGAAGGGTGGCCTAGGGTCACACCGTGGAGCAAGGGACAGTCCCCAAGGACCAGCTCAGACCCACCGGAGTCTTGCTCTCTGGCCTCCAGGAGGAACTGCCTCATCTCTGGGGACGACAACCCCCCTGGGGTCCTGTCCAGGGGGCMCCAGGCGGAGCACCGCCAGCCCTTCCTGGTCCCAGGCTTCTTGCTCCACAGACCCTGCTGCCCGCCACTGACCCTCTCCCCAGGAAGGGGAGGCCGGGAGCCTCACGCCCGGAGGCTGTGGGGGCTCCTCCTCAGCCCTGCAGGCAGCGGAGCCCAGAGACCTCCCCTCGCCCGTCCGGCCTGCAGGGGTCTCTAAGGGCAGTCAGTGGCCAAATCCAGCCCAGATGTGTTCCATTTGTCCCCTGGTGTCCAGTTTGGTTTTCAGCATTGGACTTGAACCCAAGGGAGCTCTGCCACTGAGCCCCACCCCAGCCCTTTTTATTTTTTATTTTGGGAGAGGGCCTTGTTAAGTGGCTGAGGATTTCACTAAGTTGCTGAGGCTGGCCTTGAACTTCTGGTCCTCCTGCCTCAGCCTCCCAAGTGTGCTGGGATGGCAGGTGTGGGCCACCGTGGTGCCCCGCTAGAGCTGATTTTTCTGAAGTGAATTTATTGCTTATATAAAGACCATCAGGCGACTTCACGTCTGAATCAGATTCCCAGCTTCCTTTTAAACCCGAAGCTGAGGCTGGCCCGATGGGGACAAAGGGGCCCAGAGGTGGAGGACTCCCCCAAGATCCCGGGAAACTGGCAAGGGTCAGAAGCAGCAGTCACATTCCGGATGGCAGCGTCCGAGGTTGTCCCCACCGCCTGCTCTCGGAGGCCGGCTTCCCCACCTGCCTCACGGGTTGGCAGGTCAGATCCGGGGGCTGCCAGGCCAGCACCCTCAGACCCTGGATCTGGAGTCCCCAGCGGCCCGGCGGCCCCAGGGAAGCTTGCCTGAGTGTCTGCTGCCACCAYGTGGCGGGCTCTGGGACTGCAGGAGCGATGGAGGTGGATCCTTTGGCTTGGAGACCCACCKGGTGCCTGGAGAATGTGACAGGTGCTCCCACGACGTGAACAGGCCACCAACAGGAACAGAATGCCCAACAGACAGACAAGAGAGGCTCAGCCTTCGTGTAGCCATCCATCAAATGCCTTCTGGCCGGGGTCCCGACCCAAGACACGTTCCTGAACAAGTCAGAAGCAAGCGATTCCTGTTCTCGGGGAATTGAAATTCTCCTGGAAAGTCACACGGTGAATGAGGTGAGTGGGTGATGTCTTCATCGTGTTCTGTGATGGAGGAAATGCTGCAGGGGAAGGGGACCTTAGGTGGTCCAGAGAGGGCTCGTGGAGGTGACCCTTGCACAAAGGGAGTGGGCCTTGCAGGGGGCAGCGATTGCCAAGGCCCTGCGGTAGCAGCATCCCCAGCCCTGCACAGCGGAGGTGGAGTAGAGGACACCAGCAGGGAACKGGGTCAGGAAACAGTGGAGGCCGCACCACCCCTCCCCAGCTTTGTGGGCCCCACTGGCTTTGACTCTGGRTGATCAGGAGCCAGAGAGAGCTCTGAGCAGTGCTGACCTGGGCTCCAGCGGGCTCCTCTGCTGCATGTAGCTCCCAGGGTGCAGCTGGCCATGGCGGAGGAGGTCTGCTGAGCTGGCCAGAGATGGAGCCCATCAGGGTGTTGGCCGGGGGCCTGGGGAGCAGGGGTCAGACTCAGAAGGCAGGATCTTCAGGATTCGCTAATGGACCTGATTCTAGATCAGCCGCTCAATGGGACTATGCCACAGCCACTTAAAAGGACAAAGCAGGCCAGGCGCCATGGTGCAYGCCTGTGATCCCAGCRKCTTGGAGGCTGAGGCAGGAGGATCGTGAGTTCAAAGCCAGCCTCAGCAAAAGCGAGGCTCTAAGCCACTCAGTGAGACCCTGTCTCTAAATAAAATACAAAATAGGGCTGGGGATGGGGCTCAGTGGGATAGTGCCCCTGAGTTCAGTCCCCAGTACCCCTCCCCCACAAGAAAAGGACAAAGCATGTGACACACTAGCACAGGTGAAGAGATGACCTGGACGGGTCAGCGTTTAAGGCCTGTGCGTCAGGATACGGGCAGAGGACGCAGAGGGAGCCAGGGGGAGAGAAAGTGTGTGCAAGTCATAAGTCTGATCAGCTCTGGCAAATCCAGGGTGGACAGGGACTCTGACGACTCACAGTGACCACAAAACGCCATKAGAATGGGCAAAGGGGACTGGGGCTCAGAGGCAGAGCGCTTGCCCAGCATGTGTGAGGTGCTGGGTTCAAGTCTCACACCACATAAAATAAGTAAATAAAGGTATCGTGTCCATGTACAGCTAAAAAAAGAATTAAAAATGGGGCAAAGACTCCAGGAGACATTTGCCCMGAGATATGCAGACAGCCAGTAAGCACGTGAGAGGGTGCGCTCCGTCACCAAGACGCCTTCCAAGACCCCGAGATCAAGGTCAAGACCCACGTCACCCCCATTAGGATGGAACCACCAAAAGCAGAACCGCTAGCATGGGTGAGGAGGCGCACTTCTGTCAGGGGGATTAACAGAGCTGCCGCGTGGCCCAGCGGCTCCCATTTCTGGGCACGTGCCCAAAAGAATTGAAAGCAGGGCCTTGG